GAGGGCTTTTTCTAAAATAAATAACTATTTACATGATTGTGTTGTCTTATCAGTTGCTATCAATGCCCTTATTTGGATTTCTTTTGTTCTTAATAGAGTGAAACCACTTTTTGACTATTGCTTTTGACTATGTGTAGATTGCTGCTGGAGCATAACGGCGTGCACTTGCTGTGAAGCAAAAGAAAAAATCACTCGTACGTATCGGCCATTGCTCCAACTTGCACCCCAAGACATTATCAACTGCTTTGCACTTCATTTTCCATCTTATGGTGATGTCGACGTTGTTGGATGCTACTCTTGTTCTACCGTCGAAGCATTTGAGTATATAAGGCAAATAGGGGTCATGTACGAAAGAGATTGCCCCTTCCATATGAGAAGAGAGGGCTGCATGGTGCGGACAAAGGTAATTAAGATTAAGTCTATTCAATTATTGTGTTTTAGCTTTTTCTATCTAATTGAAAAAGTATTTTAATATTATTTTGTTTATTTTTTAGAACACACCAATATATCGGATTTTGGGTTATAAGGAAATTAAACCTTGGGACGAACAAACTATACTATTGCGTGTCAATGATCACCCCGTCGCTGCTGTGATAAATGTCACACCAAAATTTAGGAAGCTCAAGGTGAGTATTTTTTGTTCCTTTTATATAGTCCTTTTTCTGTTACCAAATCCTTATCAAGATTTGTGTCAAAAGTTATAACTGTGAAAATCCTTAAGTTCTTACATAAAGTCAAAACTGAATAATTGGTTCGGACATTAATTAGTGTAATTTGTTTTATTCTATCTATTCAGGCCGGAGAAGTTTACAGGTTTCCTGGCAAGAGTACTAAAATGGCATTGCACTCAATTGTTATCGTTGGGTATGGTGTAAAGGATGATATTAATTATTGGAAAATAATGAATAGTTGGGGCACGCAATGGGGAGAGGATGGATACGGACTAATATGCCGAGATTCAAGTTTACCTCCCAATGGAAAACCACTTCTACTTAGATGTTCCTATCCGATTATTAGTAAGTAATATATCTTGGTCTATTTAAAATTCTTCGACTATTCCATTCAATTCAAAATCCTTTTGTTCACCTTTATACACACATTGAGCAACAAGCAGGGTACTATGTGTGGAGAAAATCTGATCTCCTATTGCCTTAGCTAATTTTCCCCTCATGTTTAATTCCAGATGGCGAGCGGACAGGCCGAAAGAAGAGAAAGAGAAAGAGAAAGAGAAAGAGAAAGAGTAGGGGGAAGAGTAGGAGGAAGAGTAGGAGGAAGATGAAGAGGAAGAGGAAGAGAAAGAGAAAGAGAAAGAGAAAGAGAAAGAGAAAGAGATTCCATTAATGTTTCATTCTCTGAATCTTCAGTTCTTTGAACTTATTAATGGCATTTGCCACACAATTTATACCAGAATGGAGACTTACGTTCAGAATAGATTTCATTGGTAATGTGACTCGGACTACTTCTAATGCAAAGCTTTTTCAATTTTAATTAACATGGTAGTTGCAAGTAAGATTACGGTATACAAAATTTACAAATGTATATCTTTATACTAGTTAATACATGGTCACCAAGCAAAACACAAACAATCATTAATATTATTCAGTTTTTGAACCATCCAACAAGAGTCATATTATCTGATAAAAGTTGACATGTGCACAATAATTCCATCACATATTTATCATGGGTTTATATGAGAAAAAAAAACTAGTAGGAGAAAGCAACAAAAACTGAAACTTGTCAGCCTAAGATGTATGATATCTTATGACATTGTGTAAGGGTAAAGAAACAAGTATCATACATTGCTATGATATCGTGTAAGGGTAAAGAAACAAAAATGATACATTCCTATGATATCGTGTAAGGGTAAAGAAACAAATATCATATATCCCTAGTCATATAGATACCACAGGAACTTATTTTTATTACTCTTATTTTTGAACATGTTGTACCATAATTTTTAACATTTTAGTACATAAATTTCAGGGCTGTTTCCCATCTAACCCGACACCTATTCATCTGCAGATTTACCCCCTCAAATCCGCATATTTTCTTAGTTACCCTTACATTCTCCCAAATTGGATTTTAATTTATACCCCTCTTATTTAACGAGAATATAAAACTGTGCCTGTTTTGATTATTCTGGAGTTTGAACAGAATTGGGATTGGGATAATGTATTAGAGCTTCTAAGCCTAATTCTAAAGAAAAATACTGCTGCTTGCTTTATGAAAATTTTGTGTCTGTACCTACAAAAAATGCTGAATTTATGCTCTTCCTCTTCTTTCATTTTCCCCCCTTTCCCTTCTCTTTTATGTGTGTGTGCAAGTGCATGGGCGGTGATTACCGAAGAAAGAAAGAAAGAAAAAGGAAAATAATACAATAGATATTTCTTATTTACTATCGTCATGTCAATGTGCCTATTCATAATTAAATCTAGAGTTTGATTTACTCAATTCTCAATAACAATCTTGAGGAATCTTTACATTTTCTCTGGTAGTAGACGTTCTCTTTCAGCATGACTTAATATATATTTGAATTAAAATGCATTGAGTAGTAATATTTTGATGAAGCATAAGATACAGTTATAAGGAAAATCACATTGAGTGCTTATAATTGACTTAATGAGATTATATTTTTAAAAAACAGAACACAGGATACATGGTTTTTGCATGAGGTTTCTATTGTAGTCATTTCTAGCATCTGCAGTGTGGCAAAACAAACTTAGGAATTTATTTGAGAATAACCCGGAACAGATTTCTTATGATAACCAATAAGATCATTCCACCAAATTAATCATGGGAAATTTGGAGTAAATCATCTCTCTGTAAATCAAATTTGATAAAGAGGGCATGTACCCATGCCAACCTACACCAACAATATTGCATGATGATCTGGATTTTACAAATAGAGGATGAATAATGTTAAATGAGTTTGGGCTAATCACATCTTGTCATGACTCGGATTTAATTAGGAAAGGTATTTAAATTTATCTAGACAGCCCATATTTGAATCTCAAATAGGGGAAGAACATGAACTACTTGCTAGGCTCATGCATTTCATAGTGTCCCAATTTGACCCTCTTCAAATATTTAGTACTTTGTAGAACTCATACCATCTCATTTAGAAACCACATGACTAGGTTATAATCTCTCATTTTCTCATTCCTCTCTAATCTGAAAGGATGGGTCTCCTAACATTGCTTCTCGAAGTAAATTGTGTAGCTTCTTCTTTTTGTTTGCGTTAGTTTACTTTGTTTGGTGCGTGAGATGGATATCTAAAGCGTCACAGAAAGTAGTGCTATTCACTGTTCCTGTATGCTCATGGAACATCCATCTTGATGTTCCAAATATTTTCTTTCATGTTTTACTGCCTTAGGAGGTAAGAAAACTTCACAGAAAGCTTCATATCACTTCTTGCCAAATCTTTTTACTTGTCTCAAATATTCAATGTCTTTCTTTCATTCAATGTCTTTTAAGTTTGTTTCTCAAACTCTCGTATATCTTTCTTTCATTCAATGTCTTTTAAGTTTGTTTCTCAAACTCTCGTATAGTTTTAAATTTACATACATTATTGATCTCTAACTTATTGTTTTTTGTAGGGAATCAAGGTCAATGGGGCATCAGATTTTGTAGATATTATAGCAGAGAAGGCAACAGAGGAAAACAAAACTTAGATGTCAGACGTGCGTCTACTATTTTGTATTATGGTTCAGCTTAAAGCTTTGGTACATGTATCTGTGGTTGGCTTTAGAATCATTTTATTGATTGTATCTTAAGTTGGTTTTATTTTTCTCCTACAGATCTGTATGTTACTTTCTCTTGCATTCTCCTTCCCCGGCTTCCCCAGGACCTGATCATTTTCAGTGACCATGGCGGAAGAGAGAGAGAGAGAGAGAGAGAGAGAGAGAGAGAGAGAGAGAGAGGATTAATGATGGAGAAATTGGGAATAAACAGGGAGGGGCACAATAACCGAGTTCAGTCCCATCAAAAGGGAAAATTCGTAACTTCCACTGGGATTTTTTTGAAATCTGATACTTTGATGCCTCATCACAAATACTATGTGTATTTGGGGCTTATCCACATGGGGTAATATACAAAAGGCCTCGTCACATGAAGTTTCTGTTTTTGGGGCCTGGACATATTTTTCCCTTTGTTTTTTAGGTTAAACTAAATATGGAAAAGTAGAAAAGTAAAATATGACCCCCAAATTTATAGAAATTTGCACTCTTCTCCATTAAAAAAAATGAGTGACCAGACAGCCCCTAAGTATGGGGTGAATTTCACAAACAACCCCCCGAGTTTGGATGTTTATTAGTCAACTCTCTTAATTTTTAAAATATCATATCGTCACTGTAAGTGTCAGTGTTCTCAAAAAACCAACATTAACTTTCAATGTTTTTCAGAAAGTTTCTGAAAGCGTGAACCAAAAATTTCCTCATGGATAATTTTACTCATCCATATGAAAAATGTAGTTAACGTTGTTAAAGATGCTTTTATTTAGATCATAGATATTTTTTCAGCCTACCATGGTCAACTTTACGTGTTTGACTATTTCTTTAAAAAAAACAAATTAAGTGCATAACCATGATGGGAGTTATAGCAACCCTATCATGACGGGAGTTATAACAAACTTATTCCCTATCAAGACGGGAGTTATAGCAAACGTATTCATCATTTAGATTTTCTGATGGGTGTTCCGCTGTATCCATGAAATATCAATTCTGCAGTTTATTAGAATTTCTTGTTTCATAGCATCTCAGTATCATATATTAATGCATACCACACATGGTCTTGCAGAAGATGATAATGTTTGAAATTATTCACTAGTTGATTGGATCTGTGAAACATTCATCAACCAAAAACACACAACCAAGGCTGCTATTTATGTGAACCTTACCCCTACAGGCTGAGTCTTGGAATTAACAAACCAGTTCATGCAGTGATCTTAGTCACACTATCAAACACCCAAATGCCACACACAAAACAACAAATTAAACCACAACTTGGAAAAAAAACATAGGTTTTACATCCCTTCAGCATTCAACATAACTAGACACGATTATCTTTCTTAAATAGTCCGACAATACAAAAGAGTTCTAGCATAAAATCAACAGGAGAAGGTCCTGAATTCACCACAAGCCTTCATTTAAAAGATAACATGCCACAGATACAATATAACCAAACTGTCCAATAAGCCAAAATAAGATACCAACATGAACCTACTAAAAGAAACCATAACTCAGGATCTCCTTCTCCTCCTTCGCTGTCTCCTCCTTCTTGTCTCCCCTCGGTCCCAACTTCTGGAGTCACAAATTTTGTCTGGGTCCTCAACTGCACAATCTGAATTACTTGGTTCAAGCTGCAAAATATGATTTAACATGCATCAATAAGATTACAAAAATAGAAATTAAGCATTTAAACTATCACATATTCACCACAATTCAAACATCACTTAAAGAAACAATGATTACAACTCAAGTATGAGTCCATAACTAGTATTTTTCCCTGCTATAAGAGCTTTTATTGCTGTAATATACATTTGAAAAAGAATTAACATTTTGAAATGAAAATTATTTGACTTTTCCCCAGCTAAAAAATCAAATTAAATTAAACCTTTGACTAACATAACAAGCCTTGGCATAACAAATCTCGGCAATAGCATTTTGTTCAGAACTCTGTAGTCAGAAATATAACAAAAAATAAATACAAAGTCAATCTTCATAAACACATTTCCATAACAAACCTACCCAAATAAATCAGTCAAAAAAGGAAAACAAATTGTTGTAAGAAACCTTTAAAAAACGAATCCATCAGAGAAAAAGTCAATGTTATTGAGTCAAAGGCAAAATATCTAAAGCAATAACACAAATAGAACAGATTTAACAAAAATAAATGGGTAACCTTTCAAAGAAAGATACTAGAGAGAAAGAGAATCGAGTGGCTGGATTTTTGAAGAATGTGGCCTCGTCGAAATTCGGCCACTAGCGCCTTTGAAGTTTGTTGTCGTTAGCATTGTCTCTAAAGGCTGTTAGGGTCTTATGAGGTTGTGGCCAAGACTAAGGGTGAGCAAAGTTTGGCTTAAACTGAATAAACAAACGGACCGTTGGCTTAAACTGAATAAACAAACGGACCAAACTTATTTGCACCAGATAAAATACTTCAAACTAAAATCCATGTCTATTCCTGTTGATTGGGAAAAAAATCCACGTCTATTCCTAATCCTTATGCAGATATTATTATAGTAGTTTATCTCATAAATAAATTGAGATCATCTTTTTTATCAATGATTCAACATGAATTAGGCTCAATGACTTCGGTTCATAACTTGAGCAACTTCTTGAAGTGGTTAGGTTTGGAACCAAGTGTAAACCGTTACATGAATTAGCAATTGAACGCAATAGCAAAAAGTTCAAGTCTAAGAGTCCTGGTAAACACTTTAACAATTGTATTCACTTCGGACTACATTCCCAAAATTAAGCAATACAAATAGAACCTTCCTATTTCGGTTGGTGTTTGAGATCTTTAAGTGAGGGCGAAAACAACACTTCAAGTCATTGATATTTATATCGATTTTAGACCGAAACCAAATAAACCAAACCGAGATAAGCAAAGGTATTTAGGTCAGATCGGTTCACTTCGAATCATAAACAATTTGCTTTCGGTTTGTCAAATTTTGATAAAAACCGAGTTGATTCACCATTTGCTCACCGCTAGCCAAGACTCTGAAATTTAAGTGAGAGAGAGAACTTGATGTTATATAGAAGAGATCAGAAATGGAAAAAAATATTAGGAAAAGTCACTAGTATAAGGTTATCATTTGAACTCCACCATTCTGGAGTTCAAATTCCGTCCACATTAAGTAATTTGATTTCAAGTGCATTGCCCAAAAGAATGCCAAAACATGAGATTTGGATCTGGCCAAGCTGAATTTAAATCTAGGACCCAAAGACATGTTCCCAAAAAGAACCTAAATGTTATTGAATTGGGTTCAAAGTTCGAACCGCTCAGATATATCAAATATCTGGTTTGCTTTGCTAACATTCTTAGCCTTATGATAAAAACACAAAAAATTGACAGATGAAATATCAGGAACTCATTATGCTGCATAGAAAATCCAACGAATTTAATAATTAAAAATACAAGTTACACATAGGCCCAAAGAGCAAAAATAATTGACATAGTCACATGAGAACCTTGTTTGTTAAAGAACTCATATTTTTGGCAAGCGGAGATTAGTTAATAATCAAAGATGCACAAGTGAATATTGTCTACCAAATAAAGAGGAGATCCTACTTTGTTAAGTAACACACTAGTTAAACGTGAATCACTAAGTAGAATTAAGGCTTTCTTCGCCTTATGATAAGAACCCAACAAATAATTGACAGATGCAATATCAGGGACTCATTACGCTACATGGAAAACCTAAAGAATTTAATAATTAGAAAAACAAATTGCATATAGATCCAGAGAGCAAAAACAATTGACACAGTCACGTGTGGACATCGTTTGCTAAATGACTCGTATTTTTGGCAAGCGGAGATTAGTTAACAATCAAGGATGAACCAAAGCGAATATTGTCTACCAAATAAAGAGGAGGTCCTGCTTTGTTAAGTAACACTATTTAAAGGTGAATCGCAATGTAGAATTAAGTCTTTCTTAGCCACGTTGTTCTCTTCACGCAACAATGAAATTGGAATATACATCTAACAAATGAGTAAAGCAAACAACATCGCTCGTCTAAACTAGAAATCTAGCATGGTTTATGGTTCCAACGTTATATGCAATTCTCAATGATAATTCATCCACACACTCAATTTGACTTTATAAGATAAATGGCTCTACGTACCTAATTTGCCCTACGTATCCAAAAGGCAAAAACAAGCCTTATTTTGATCGAAACTATAGAGTGATAAGGAATGAAAAGCTCCTGATGCAATTTTGGTGTGGCTGATGCATATTGGTATTAGTGGAGTTTATAATCTAGGTATTGAGTAAACTCCAATCACGCTAATATCACACAGAATGATACAAGGAATATTCCTTTAATGCTACCACACCATGCCAAGGGAGAACATACGGGAGGAAGTGAAGGTGAAAATATAACTACTAAATATGAGCTGATATGATAAGTGCATCAGAAATAGAAGCATATAGGGACAATTTGCTATTATTCGTAAATTTGAAAAATGCACGAGCTTTTAGAATAAACATGTTTGTGAAGAAGGGAAAAACTAAGTATAACAAAAGTGATCTGTCCTAATGCCAACTTCCTGATTTACCAGGAATCTAATTTTCTTCGTGAGACCACTCATGCACAAAAACTGCCCAAATCTCCGCCGTGCGTCAATCATGCTTGCCATGCATTTGTGCTCCAGTTCATATTCAAATTGACATTGTCTTGACCACCAGGAATTAATGTGCATCACTTTTATAACTAGCTACAAATGTCTTCCAAGTCAACTAATTAATCCAGCTTTGCACGAAAAACTCTCGCAAGGGAAAAGACAAAGCATAATCTTGTACAAAGGGAGATGGGTTTAATTATACCTCTGTGGACGCTGGTGGATTAATAGTCGGTTTGTTTTTCTTCCTAAAGATATGAACCTCGTCTTTCTGGTTTCCGCAACGAGTCATCACCAAGGCTTCATATTCATCGACCTCGAGGGTGACGACATCTTCGGCCTTTAAAGTTATGTAATAGTCGAGGGGACAAGCAGCCCTCACATTACACTTGATGACATCCTTAAGCCGGAGTTCATTGCCACCCTGTGATAATAGAAATAAGAGTAACAATTATTTGATCATCTTTAGCGGAAGAAGAAGAAGAAGAAGCAGACCTCTTTCCTTCTCTTCTCGTTTTGGTCCTCCATGGCGAAGTCGGCGATTTCACGAATATCCTCAGCGGGCCAATCGCTGTCAACCGGTTGGATGATACCGATAGCGAAAACATTGGGTAACGGAGGAACATCAAATCCCTAGTTAGGGGGGAAAGAAATGATTGAAAAAGATGAAGAATAATAAATTAAAATAATTAAAACACCAAACAATGAACTATTTTAGGGTTAGCGGCCGGGGGGCTTTACATCGCTGCGACGAACAGCTGCCGCGTATATGGCCTGCTCTTGGTCGGTCATCTTGTGGAGACCATCCCCGTAAGAATCGTCATTGGGTAACGCAGACGCCGGCTTCTTCGCCGGAGACGCCGGCTTCTTCGCCGTCAACATCCTCTAATAACCCTAACCAAACCCTAACAACCCAATTCGATCTCTCCCTCTTGCCCCTCTCCTATGGATCCCATCACGGCCGTTGCTTTGCTTTTATAAACAATCAATCCTCCTGCTCCTGTGTTTTGGGCAGCATTTACACATTAGCCCCCCACAGTTGCGTAAATTCCATAACGATCCTCTAAAATTTCCTGGAAAGTTCTTCAAATTCAACAGGGTCTTAACCAAAATGCGCCGTGTCGCTTGTTTTCGACAAAATGGAGACTTCTGAGCGAGAACATAAGAGCGGTCCGTCGGGGCATGGGCCGAACTGGTTCAGGCCCATGACTGCCTGCCGGGTTTAAAAGGGTCTTAACCTAACTTTTTTCTATTTCTTTTTACCTTTCTAATTATACTAGTATGGTGCACGTGCGTTGCACGTGTTAATACTTTATTGTTTATATGTAGCCCTATAATTTTTATTGCATTGATAATTTTTTTTCTATGTGACATATATTTGAAAGATGTCATAGATAATATATATTAGGTTTTTATTGACCGGCTTTTAATTGGCAATTTATGCTTGTTCTCATAAATAATTTGCTACTTTTTTTAATTAATGATATAAATAGATGCTATAGGGTTATAAATATGATCATATAGAACACTCATTTTTCATGTAAAAAACCACGATATTGACAGAAAAACCACAAAATAAATGAGGTAATCGAAATAATTAAATTATATGTCCACTTAATGTAGCAGAATCATATCTTATCTACGTTTGACATAAATAGACAGAAGGTAGCTCAATTTGAGCAGCATTCATCAGATTCAAAAGATGCATCTTTGTCAAACTGTAGAGAGCCATGGTGAATCGGGCTGCAGCAATGCAATTTGATCTATAACAGCTAGATTCCATGACCTATAAACAAAACTGAATCGAGCATGATCAGGCATCTTCAACTTCTCGAGGATCAAACCTAACTATAAATGTTACAGAAAGAGTGAAATCACCTTTGAGATCAAAGATAGTATGTTGCATTGTAAGTAGTTAACAGCTTTAATACACATCTTCGCTGCATATTAGAATGTTGTGTTAGATAATAATTGTTTGAAAGATAAGTTGTACAAAATTTGCATCATATAATGAAAAAATAATGAGTCGTGAATTTGTTTAGGTGATTTACCTTTGAGGCAATAATACTTGTGGATACACAATATTTTTTGTGTATGTTTTTGTTGTTCTTCTTGTTTGCTCAACTTTCACTAATACCTTAGTTGTTCTCGAAGATACCCCCTTGATAATGCAACATATAATTGACCATGTGAGAATACATGGTGCGACAAATAAACTCCAACATAAGGTATTGTTTGTCCCTGCGCTTTGTTGATTGTCATTGCAAAACATAATCGGATTGGAAATTGTTTTCTACGAAATCGGAATGGATAACCCTCATTTTCAGCTGGAGATAATGGTATTCTCGATATCATGACATTTTGTCCAGAATGTTGACCAACTGTGATTTTAGCATGGGTGACATTATCTTCATACCCTCTACAAATCATTCGTGTGCCATTGCACATTCCATTAGATGGGTCAAGATTTCGTAACAGCATGATTGGACAATTTCTTTTTAAGAATCAATTTATGAGGTGGGAGTCCATTCAGCATTAAGGTGTTCAAGAACTCTTCTTGGTAATAATTATTGGTGTCATCTACTGCTTCGTCAAAGCCAAAGAATGTTTTAGCTTCACCAGGAAGTAATGCAATTAATTTTTCATTAAGTCCATCGACATACTCATTTCGTGTTAAAAGAATAGCATGATGTGTCATGTATTCAACAGATGATGAATTTGCTTGTAATGATGGAAAGATAGCATCAATCAAATTTTTTTCAGGGTTTTCATCATTGTCATATTCTATTACCATTTCATGTGGAAGAAGTATTAAATTCTCATCTATTGTGGGTTCCTCTCCATTCCCCACGCGCAATAAGAACTCTCCAAATACTTGATCAGTCCTTGCCCTCATATTCATAGTGAGAGATAATTTCTCCATTTCCCCTAGAGATATGATTTCACAAGACTTGCATTGACTGTTTCTGCTCTAGTGCCGCATGGAACAACTGGCAGAACTTGACGGAAATCACCTCCAAACACGACTACTTTTCCACCAAAAAGTCTTTGGTCACCCATAACATCCCTAAATGTTCTGTCAACCGTCTCAATTACAATTTTTTTTGCCATAGGTGCTTCATCCCATATTATAAGTGATGCCAATCGAATCAATTTTGATGTTCCATCCTGTTTCGATATATTGCACATTGTAGTTTCATTAGCAGTAATTGGAATTTTGAATCGTGAATGTACAGTTCGCCCTCCTGGCATTATTATTGCAGCCACTCCTGATGTTGCTGTTGTTAATGCTATCAACTTTCTTGATCTTAGATTTGCAAGCAGTGCACGGTAAAGAAAAGTTTTACCTGTTCCTCCTGGACCATCCACAAAAAATATTCCAGATTTTTTTTCGTTGACTCTATCTAATATTATATTAAAGGCTTGTTTTTGCCTCGTGTTTAACTTTGATTGGGCATGAAAATCTTCTGATGGAATGTATATCTCCCTTTCATCAATAATTTTCCTCGGCAAAATCTGACATTGGTCAACATCATCATGTATCAGTAATGGTAGATCATAATCTGCAATATGTTTACCCATACTCTCAAGGAAGAGATTAATGCTATTTAATGTCCATGCAACACGAGCTGGTAGCATGTATTCATCTACTCCTCCCTTGAAATCTTCTGCGATCGTTTCAAAATGATCGTTCCATAATTTTCTTACATTTGATGGTTGACAATAAACCAAAATAATGGCAAATAATCTTCGTAGTGCATAAGGCATTTGGAAGGCAGTGGCCTCAACTAAACAATCATAAATATTATCATCAGCTTCTAGTAATCCTCTTTTTTATGCAGCTTCATTGAAGGACTTATATTCAATACCATCAACTGTTAAATGATATTCCTAGGAAGTAGGACCCTTCACATGATTTAATAATAGACGTAAATAATATCTCTCTCCTTCTTTTGGGTTTGCATCATTTATACGACCAATGATAAGTTTGTGCTTCCGATCAGACCAAATCTTTGCTTGGTTATTCCACACATAGTGTTAAGGAAATTCGACGTATAGAAATAGCCTTGCATTTTTAGTTGTTGTACATTTTATGAAGAATTCAGTGAGCATAGTTTTTGATGATCTTTCAGAATCTATTACATCACGAAGATCTCGATGTTTCTAATAACAAATTGATTGCTTATCTAGAAGATGTAACTAAAGGCTAATGACTGGAGGAGCAGTTTCATTCATCTTAAATTCATACATTCTCCAAAATGCTTCTTGCGCTGACACCCACCGTCCATCTTGGAAATGTTTTATTTCATCAAACTTATTTTGCTCTTCGTTGTGTGCAAGGTAGATAGAGATCTTGTCGTGCCCTTTATATATATATTTATATAAATATTTGATCGCTTTTACACTGGAGCAAACCTCAACATTAATGTGGTAATTGTACCTAGTAAGAAGATATGACGATATCAATTTTTGTTGAAATATTCTCATAAATAATAAAATTTAAAGCTATTGTGAAGATTGTACCTGGTAAGGACATATGGATTATATAGAACAACCCATTGCTTGTTCAACTCTGCTCGACGCACACATACTTTTCTACCATTATTCCTCCTCATATAAATTGGATATGAATCTTTACCAACTAATGTCTTAGAGGAAAAAGGACGTGGATAATGATGTCTACATTCTTGATTAACCATGCAAGGGCTGTCCATGCGGTGTTTCCCACAGGGACCATGCATCATATGTTTGACAACCATTTCATGAAGTCTTGGATGAGTAGACACATCTGGGATTTCTGCTGAAATATATTTATTGAACTTATGAAGAATCATTGTTGACCACAAATGTTGAAATAAGTATATTTATGAGTAATTTACCTGATTGTTCTTGCGGTAATAGTTCTTGTTCTTGTGCTGATGAGAGTCCCAATTGACTTGAATTATTGTTATGTTTGGAGATGGAGCAATCAACTTTTATGATATTTTGATGCCATCCAGATTCACCTTTTGGAAATAAAAACGGATATTACAATGGGTCATAGCAACCATAATAATGTTTCACATAATGTCTTTGACCAGAGTGTTCATGAATCACAATCTCCCTTTCAAATGGAATATTTGATTTATTCCCTTCAATCCATATGACAGCAACTTCATTGGATGTTGGTGTATTATAGACCCGTTGATCAAGGTTGGTATTTGTAGCAATACAAACACAGATATCTTTGAATGATTCAAGATCTCTTAATGAGCGAAGGAATGTAGCATATGGATTATCTTTCAAAATTTCCATCACCATTTTCATAACGCCCTCATCCATTGTGTTATTTTGCAATATTTTCATCCTATTGTAAAGCTCATTATCACAGTCATAAAAGTACAATTGGAATAAAGCGGGTTTATCTGTGCTTGGTATCAAACCCGGTAAATGGTGGTAAATTTGCCCTTGTGCTCGAAATGTAAAAACACCGTTCGTCGATGATGCCAAACTTTTATCAATAGTAGCTCCAAATGAGGTGAATGAGAATAGACTATTGTATTTTCGAATACTTTTACGGAACTCTATTGTTTTTGGAGTGTTGGATGTGAACAATGAGTAAAGAGCTGGATGGACAGACGTTGAAGCCAATTTGATTCAACCATTATCGCAACAAAATGTTGGCACTTCATGTTCAAATTTCTTTGCTCCATAATGAATACATTGCGAGACTATTTTCATTTGATGTAACTCTGAGCATGAAGTATTATAGAATGTATTTCCTATAAAATAAATATAGCGATAAGTATTTAATTCTGTAGACCATGAGTTTTATATAAATTTAGTGTGTTTAATATACCTTGAAATTGATATTCTGATTACGTAGCTCGAAGTAACCACTTGACTCGTCGTTTAGTGGGATATCAATTTTTGTTGAAATATTCTCATAAATAATAAAATTTAAAGCTATTGTGAAGATTGTACCTGGTAAGGACATATGGATTATATAGAACAACCCATTGCTTGTTCAACTCTGCTCGACGCACACATACTTTTCTACCATTATTCCTCCTCATATAAATTGGATATGAATCTTTACCAACTAATGTCTTAGAGGAAAAAGGACGTGGATAATGATGTCTACATTCTTGATTAACCATGCAAGGGCTGTCCATGCGGTATTTCCCATAAGGACCATGCATCATATGTTTTATAACCATTTCGTGAAATCTTGGATGAGTAGACACATATGGGATTTCTGCTGAAATATATTTATTTAACTGGTCAGGTGTTAAGACTTTGCAATCTTCTTTCAAGATAACTAATATATGAGCATGTGGAAGTCCTCTTTTTTTGAAATTCAATCACGTACACATGCGCTCCAACATTTTTTTGAAGAGTTGATCGTTTAGGTCTTCAAGTTTTGAATGGAATACACGTGATGTCAAATCAGGTCTGTCTTGAGCAACTTGTCTCATTAGAAGTTCGTCTTTTATTTCTTTCCAATCTCGATTACAAGTCATTATAATAAAAATATCTGGTTTACCAAACCTCTGAACCAAAGCCATTGCATCCATATACCGACGCCGCATGTCTCTTGGTCCTCCAATGAAAGATGCAGGTAAGATAACCCTTTGCCCAACTTGATCACCTCGAGTTTCACTGGTGGTTAGACTATCCACTATTCCTTGATACACTTCAGCTCTTATTTCAGATTGTTTGTTCCGAAAGTAATCAAGTCTAGTTGTCTCAAGTTTGATATACATGTCTACTACAAATTGTTGTAACAATCTTCCAGCAAGCAAAAACACAGATGATTCTGATTCTCTTATTTGTAACTTGTAGCAATAATATTCTCTGCATGAAACATGAGATTGTTTTGGCATAGTGACACCTATATGGAAAAAAATTTATTAACATTTAATATATGAAGAAATATTATTGACCACAAATGTTAAAATAAGTATATTTATGGGTAATTTACCTGTCTGTTCTTGTTGTAATAGTTCATGTACCGATGAGAATCGAAATTGACTTGAATTATTGTTTTGTTTGGAGATGGAGCAATCAATTTTCATGATATTTTGATGCCATCCGGATTCACCTTTTGGAAATAAAAGAGGGTATTGCAATGGATCATAGCAACCATAATAATGCTTCACATAATGTCTTTGACCAGAGTGTTCATGAATCACAATCTCCCTTTCAAATGGAACATTTGAATTATTCCCTTCAATCCATATGGCAGCAACTTCATTGGATGTTGGTGTATTATAGACCCGTTGATCAAGCTTGGTATTTGTAGCAATACAAACACGGATATCTTTGAATGATTCAAGATCTCTCAATGAACGAAGGACTGTAGCATATGGATTATCTTTCAAAATTTCCATCACCATTTTCATAACGCCCTCATCCATTGTGTTATTTTGCAATATTTTCATCCTATTGTGAAGCTCATTATCACAGTCATAAAAGTACAATTGGGGAAAAATGGGTTTATTTGTGCTTGGTATCAAACCCGATAAATGGTGGTAAATTTTTCCTTGTGCTCGAAATGTATAAACACCGTTCGTCGATGATGCCAAACTTTTATCAATAGTAGCTCCAAATGAGGTGAATGAGAATAGACTATTGTATTTTCGAATACTTTTACGGAACTCTATTGTTTTTGGAGTGTTGGATGTGAACAATGAGTAAAGAGCTGGATGGACAGACGTTGAAGCCAATTTGATTCAACCATTATCGCAACAAAATGTTGGCACTTCATGTTCAAATTTCTTTGCTCCACAATGAATACATTGCGAGACTATTTTCATTTGATGTAACTTTGAGCATGAAGAATTATAGAATGTATTTCCTATAAAATAAATAAAGTGATAAGTATTTAATTCTGTAGACCATGAGTTTTATATAAATTTAGTGTGTTTAATATACATTGAAATTGATATTCTGATTGCGTAGCTCAAAGTAACCACTTGACTCGTCGTTTAGTGTGTCTTTGATGATCACTCGAGGCACTGACACTTGATTCACGCCTATTCTCAATGGATCTATTTATATAAGAAGTTCGCTCTTCTTGAGTGAGATTTGTATAGTAATCTTTGAAGTAATTGTTCTGCTTACGCTTTCTTGAGGTCTCACCATCTGCAAATTTATATTAAAAATTATTCATAATTATAGTTTAGAATTGAAGAAAACATTTTAGATATTAAGAACATATTTCAAACCTCCATCAAAAGTCATCTTTGGTCTATAATCTGTTGAAATGAGACATGCAAAAGCAATGTAATATAAGTAATTGTATGGAGTAATTTATTCATATAGGCATCATATATTGGATAAATCATGTTTCCAGAGGCATCATTATTTGTATCATACTATGCTTAGCTTGTTCTTTAGATATATGCGGTTGTAATTCTTGATATATCGTATAATATAACAAAATATAGAAGTGTTGTTATAGCTACAAAAACAGATAGAAACTCGCGAAATAGAAATATGGCAACAAACATATACCTAGAAGTATGGCAACAAACAAATATCTCTCTTCACAAAAGTGAAATGCCTGCTCCTGTCCCTCTATCAGGTACTCTTCAAGCAAAAAATTATATTTTATTAGCTTATCATACTTAGCATTTGACTTCTATACAAAAAATCCAATAAGTTTTCTCATTTTGCAGAATACCCTATAAATTAGAACTAGAAAACGACATAATAGACATATTGCAAGACAATTTTAGCAAAAACTAACAATACAACTATGATTCGAGACTCCAACCTAGACA